TTGCTTCTTGATAGAACATGTTAGAAGATTAATACTAATAAATGAACACTACCCAATAATAGATCTTCTATCACTTGAATTGCTAGCCTAGCCTGAATCAGAGTATGTGTGAAGAGTAAGAGGTCCTAATTGTAATGGAAATCCAATATCCAGAGTTTTCCTTTAATATATTGAAGAAATCTTTTGAGAATCTAATAATGGATGTTGAGAGGTTGATGAAGGTGTTGAGCGAGAGTGGTATCAGTAAAGGCGATATCGAGTCTTGCGATCATTTTTGGCCAATATAATATCATCAACATATAGAAGAAGATAAAAGCTAGTTTGTTGTTTTTTATAGATGAGAAGAAAATTATCATCTTGACTATGAGTAAAGCCAAATTTGAAAAGATGATTAGTAAAAGTGTTATACCATTGTAGTGGAGCTTGTTCGAGGCTTTAATAGTTTTTTTTTTTCAATAAAGACACATGATTGGGATGATTAGGGTCAATGAAAGCTGACTCATATATATAGTTTCTTGAAGTTGACCATGTAGAAAGGCATTAGAGACATCCATTTGACATGAGGGAAAAGAAAAATAACATGATAATTTAAATTATACACAAAGATAATTTTTTTTAGATTTTGACATGAGGGAAAAGAAAAATTCAAGAGAAAATAGTTTAAGATATTGCACAATAATTGAATCTATACTAGAGACCAATTTTGAAATGTTGTTTAAAAATTCGAAGTTAAAATTTTTATTAAAAGATACAATATTATTTTTAATTTGTTATGGTTTCATAAATACATTAATGTAATATTTAATAGAGAAATCATAATAAACAAGGTAATTAAAACCGAAGAAGAGAATATAGGTTACATTCTACGTTAATAATAATATATTTAGCTGAAAATAAAATGTTAAAAATTATTGTAGAGATAGGAAAGAAATGTGAGAAAACTGCTGATTTAATAAACACAATGTTAATGTAATTAGAAAAGATATTTAAATATAAAAATAACAAAAACTATTTATTAGCTTAAATTAATAAACTTTGAGTTTAAACAGAGAAGAAAATAAATATTAACGTTGTCATTTAATTAATTAAAGTTGAATTTAACTAAATGAAGATAATTGGTAATTAAATTAAGAAGAAAAGAATATTAACATTGAAATTAAATTTAAATTTAATTGAATAAAATAAGTAATATTAACTAGTTAAAAAAAATAATAATAAAGTTCTTAATCAATTAACTTTAAATTAAGAATAATGAGTTAGTTTAATTGGAAAGATATAGAAAATTAATTTTGTTTCTTGAATTAAATTTGCAGAAAAAAAAACATATTAAATAAATTTCATTATTTATATAAGAAAATAAATAAATAAATAAATAAATAATTAATTAATTAACATTCATCATTTGCATAATCGTGAATGATTATACGATATATACTACATTGAAGAAAGTGTAACACCTAAAATAAAAGAGTCATGCCAGTCTTCCGAGTAATTTGAGTAATTACATTTGCTACTATATAGTAATTAAGTTCAAATGCATTAATCTGTCCTTACCCATTTGAGAATATTGTTCTTGAAAAGTGATTGAATGAATACTTATATAAATCTCTCTATATTGTTAGATATAATTCATATTATTTTTTGAAATGCCTTGCAAATTTATTAGAAGTAATTAAAGTTTAATATGATCATTTTAAGGAATATAATAATTAAAAATGATTCTATATACATGTTGAAAGCTGAAGAAGTAATTACCTACTGTCACGATCTAGATTTGAAAAAGGTTATAAAGTTGATTCAAGCTTAAAAGGTAGTTAAATGGCGTTCTTATGACAGGTGTATTATATAAAATGTTAAAATATTAAAATGAAAAAGAGAAGAAATAAATAAAAGCTCATTTATATTATGAGCTAGAATGACAGTTTAAGTAAAAAGCTTTAGAGGCATTTTGCTTTCAATTTCTTGAATTATTATAAGTTAAAAATGCATTTAACCAGTGAATTCTTTAATTTACACAGCAGTTAAATAAATAGTTTTCAAATAAATCACCCTCAAATTAACTGAGCCAACAAAGGGCTTTGTTCAGAACCAACAGGTATTAGCGGGAGAAAGGTCTGCACTAAGCTTTTGTATCAATTGAATTTTGAAGTCTAGTATGAAGAAAAAAATGGCATGTTTTATGAAAAATTTAAGATTTAGGACCCGTTTGGGGCAACTTATTTGATGCGGTGACGATTTGAAAACACATTTGGTTTGTTTGAATAAAGCATGCATCGACAGTTTATGCGTTTTCAAAACGCTGAAAACAGTGTTTTCACACCACACATATTTAGGTGTGGTGACAACTTTCTGACAGTGGACTGACTTTTAAAAAAAAATAAAAATTTGTAATAGCCGCCGCACCTAACTTATCAGCAGATTATTTTTAATCAGCTTATCAGCAGATTATTCAATAAACTACAGCTGCTCCAAACAGATCCAAAAGTTAGCGCTTTTAAGAATAGATTTCCTGAATGCTATATAAAAAAAACCTTTTTCGTTCAATTTTCTATTATTGATTTCAAGTTTAAAGTCTAGATAAAGAATGCCTAAAAGATGATTACTTGTGATTTCATAAACATGTGAGGAATTAGCAGTTCATGCTAGCAAAAAGAAGATTTTAAACAAGAATCATAACGAGTCCGTTTTTGTTGACATTTCAACCTTATTATCCGCCTAAAAATAGTCAACTAGTCAGTTTTCGTTCATGTAGTCAACAACTCAGTTTTCGTTGATTTAGTCAACTATCAGGATTATTTATTAAATATTTTAGAAACTACTTTGAACTTGACAGGGAGCATCACATGACGTGAAAACGACCTGAAGTCCATCCCATCAGCAAAAGGCTTTAACCAGCAATCTCTGTCCCATAACCCTAAGTTTCCTATCCTCACACTTCTCTAAATCTTAGAAGTGATCCGAATCCAAAC